AGAAGTTCCCACTGATGGGATTCACCATTCAAAAAAAACATGAGAACAGCAAAGCTAGGATGATTCTGGGCTTTAGGGTTTAGACAGACAACTAACCAGATGTATATGGGGTTAACGAGGAGCAGGAGAAGGCAGCTGGGATAGAGTGACGGCTGAATATTGCAAAGTATCAGAGGCCAGTATTGTACACCATTAGCTTGTTGTTTCCCTGTGCTAGTTTTAATTAGATCTAACAAAAGTGGATAGTGAGTCAGCTAATGGCCTTGACCCAAGGTGAGCTGAACTGCAGAGAGAAATAAAGCCTTAGTAAATACAGACGGCTTCTTTTTAGTTTGTATAGACAACAAGGTTGAAATAGCATGAAAGTAATTTTAAGGCTGATGTTATTAGCTACATATTCTGTCTTTGTCTCTTTCAGTTATGGTCGATAACTGTTTGAAAAAGGAGGTTTTCACAGTACTCTGAAGTCCTGTGAGAAGTTAAATACACCCTTACTTCAGGAATTAAGGGGGAAACTAGCAGCCAAGTGCTGCTGATCAAATGCACTTGAAGTGTGAGCACCTCTACAAAAGCAGAGGTTTTAACAGTCTGCAGGTCTGAACTATTCAGGTGTGATGCTAAAGGAGCAGCTTTTGGCCCCCATCAATGTTCAGAGAAACTGCAAAATGTTGGTCCATAATGCACAAAATCTAACACAGCATACAAGCACAAGCACCCTATCAACTGGAATCACTGACAATGGTCTGAGAACAATGAATAAATAAACAATGGGAACAATATAAATAAATAAAATGAGTATGTCTGATACAGGAATAAGCTGTAAATGTGGTTTCTTACATCCATTTTTTTTTTCAGAAAAGCGTGAAGTACAACTAATGAGACACTTCTATTACATCGTAGCTCTCCTTGGGGACCTTATTACCGTATATGAATGTAATACACTTCTGTGACTGAGTGGCATATTTTGGATCTCGGGAACATGGCTGTGATTGTATGACTTTATTTTCGTTGCAAGTGAGCCCTTCACACACGCATAGAGAAAATAAGGGTAAGCAGTCCTTTCAGTTTGACAAATGAGTAGAAAGTCCTAGAGCTGATGTACAGCCGCCTCAGCCTGCACAGAAGGCAGGTGCATTGCATTCATGTTTTATGTATAACATATTTATCAACACTCGCCCCCTCAATACTTTTGTACTGCAAAAACTGTTAAAAATATTCTGCCAGAAAAGCCCTTGATACCCATAGAGCAGACTTAATTTTACCAGGTATGGTGATCGTTGCTCTGCTGCGATTATGGCGAAGCTTTCAGAGGTCACCGTACTACAGGCTACTGCAGTTCAGAAGTTTGGATTTAAAAATGCAACAAGCAGTATTATATATACATCCAGTATTTGTGTGGAGAGCGTCAGCATGCATAGTCCACACATGCAGAGAGAAATCAGCACAGGAAAGCCCCATCGTGTGCGTCTAAGACAGCAAAGCAGACTGCAGATGGGATGAAACGTAGCACAGCTGCCATTTTCACCTGGATATGACACTCCATGACTGCCTCAGGCTTAGATTTATTCCCTGCTAAAACGCAGCAGTGAAATGTAAAAGATGTGTGAGGATGCCCGAAGGAAGACTGCAAGACTTCCAGCTCTTGTTGGCATTTGAGCCCATTTAGGAATTCTAGCATTTGAGTTAGGGATGAGTATAATGGGATAGCTGCAGTCCAGCCTGAAAACTGTAGATGTACAGCCTCTCTTAGTTCAGATCCACAACATATGGTAATGTTATATTGTTATGAATTCCCCGTGATGCATTCTGTTTTGCACATCAGGAGACTGCATGGAGATCACGGTCCACTTAACATCAACGGATCCTCTGTGGAGGTCGTCAAGAGCACCAACTTGGTGTTCACCTGGCGGACAGCCTCTCCCGGTCCCTCAATACCAGCTCCATAACTAAGAAGGCCCAACAGCGTCTCTACTTCCTGCAGAAGCCAAGAAAAAACCATCTCCCAACACCCATTCTCACCACAGAGGGACTATCAAGAGCTTCCTGAGCAGCTGCATCGCTGCCTGGTATGGTAACTGCACCATATCAGATCGCAATACCCTACAACGGATAGTGAGAACAGCTCAGAAGATCATTGGAGCCTCTCTTCCCTCCATCACAGACACTTATCTCTTAAAAAAGAACAAAAATACTTTTGAATTAATATCAGTAGAATAAAGTAGAATAAAGGACAAAAACAACTATCTGGAGTGCTGGCCATCTTCATCTTTGGGGTACCTTCTGGTGCAAGTAAAAAAAAAGATTTTCTTTGTCATTTCTTTTCAGAGATGACAAACATCATCTAAGATTTAAAGAGCACGAGCTTCATTCTGCACTCAGCATGGACTGAAAATTCAAGCTTTGTTGTAGTTTCAGCCACCTGGCACACCATCCCTCTCCCCTCAGTCTCACTGTAGAACAACAGTATAGCAGCTGTTGCTCAGTTAGGCTGGGCTGGTGGTTGGCTAGAGTTTATGATTTAATGTGCTGCTCATTTGTTTTCTCCTGGAACAAGATACTAAACCCCAAATTGCTTCCCTTTGTTCCTACATGGAGACCTCTGCTCACTGATGGTTGTCATTTTGGGAATACAGGAAGCTGAACTGGAACAGGATAGTTGAGGACCAACATGGATTTAACACTTATTTACCAGGACTATTTATAAACTGTAAGAGAGCCAGAGAGTTAGTTCCCCATTTTCAGAAACTCAGGATCTAATTGAACAAACAGACATAATTTTAAATATAGGAATTATTTGTTATTCTTGAATTCAGTTAGTGACTGAAGTCTAGATCCCATGGACACCAAATACTGTTTCCTCCCTTATCTGCACTGCCAGGCCTTTACAGCAGCTACCTTAGTTACTGCTTGATTGCGTGTCTTTCTTCTGTATTTTATATTTAATAACTGAAAAGCTGCTCTCTCAGCTCCACGTTAGGTTGGGGATTGAAGAACATCACTTTTCTTCACCTTGAGAAACTCTTGGGTTGCATTTGCTTTATGCTTTGGGTCTTTATTTTCTGCACTGTGTCAGATAGTTTTGCAGCGTTTGGTTGAATCTGAGCAGAGAGTACAGCATGGTACACTTCACATTTCATCTTACTACTATTATCACATCATCACTCCATTAAATGGCTGCCTTCTGATGTACCTGGGGTTCTGTTAGATCTCAGAAAAACTGCTTTTATTACTAGACATCTTGGACATGGAATAATTTACAGAAAGACCGAAATTTAAACATGCCTTTAGAAGTATAATGAGGAATGCAGTGAAAGATTTGTGGATGTTTCTTTTATAAAATCACTTAATGATTTAACATTTTATGTTATGGGTATATTTATATTGTGTTTTAAGCTGTGGTTTTAATTTTATGTTGCATTTGTAGCATTTTTAGATGCTTTAGGTTGTATGGCTGCAACCTCAGTCAGGGCTATCTTGTAAAAGATAATGTGATCTCAGTGGGACTTCCTGGCAAAATAAAGGTAATAATAATAATAAACAGTAGTGGCTATACATCCTTATAGTATAATATTGGCTCCAGCAATGATATGTTATTGCTTTTCATGTTTCTCTCCTTGCCCAGACTTTTCCCATCACTCTAGTACAAGATTTTTATGTATTTTCAGAAACCTGCAGGCTCTTTTAGATGTCTCCTGGTAAATGTGTAATGGGACCTCCGTGAGTGTAGCTAGTGGTTTGCATTTCATTGTTCTCTGTATTTGAAAAACACCTTTGTAGAACTTTTAGTAAATTATAGAGCTTGACAATGATACACTTGTCTCCTCAGCAGTGATCTTATCTTGGTCAGATAATTGTCAACTATGGAAAAAATTCTGTCTTCATCCACTTTACCTCCTTTGGTTTTTGAGTCTTTTGGTGTTGCTCAGCTCGCCATTCCTTCTTTTACGAATGAACTAAATTATTGATTTGGCCCTCCTAAAGCCTTTTCTATCTCTGATAGCTTCTTGTTCTCGTCAAATTCAGAAATTACAACGAAAAACTGTAAAATACAAACTCGACACTTTAACTTCAGATTTGATTTCTGCTTCATTTGTCATGAAATAAAAAGTGAATGGGCTTCATCTGGCCATGAAACTGCAATCAATGGTCCAATAAATAATGTGCCTCAAAAATGGGAGCCTGTGTATAAAAACTACTGTAATTTTCAAACATTTAATGCACAGTTGTTGTAATAATTAAAGATGAAAACCTGCACTTCAATCACTTCGTGTCTATTTGATTTAAAATCGATTGCAGTGGTGTACAGGGCCAAAACTATGAAAACCGTGTCAAACAAATATAGAACTAGCTGTAGATGCAAGGACGGCCTCGTACAAAAACCACTTGTCTTTGCAGATCTCTACAACTCTGCAGGGTTTTACTGTCCTTCGGCTCATTGTTTTGGCTTTATGGTCAGAAATATTTTCTGCTTTCATTCATTCTCACTGCTAGTTTCAAGTAGCAGCTCTAGCAACTGTTTACAAGTAGGCTTTGGTAAATCCACTGCAGAACACCTGCTTACTGTTTAATGAGAGACTCCTGGCGAGCTGGTGGAGGACAAAAACGGAGCTAAAGGTAGAATTTTTATAGATATTTCTATTAGCTGGGCGGAAATAGCCTACCTTAAATTGGATGTTGTTTACTACATCATAAGAAGTTTAGGGTATTGCCGAGGAAAGCGAGACTATAGTTTAAATACATGAAAATTAAATAAATAAATAAAAATCTTAACCAAACACAAACTGAATAAATCAAATAGTAAAATATTGTAGTAGAAACGAATAATTTTGAAATGTGCTGAAATGTATTTCATCATTCATACATTTCAATTCAGCTGAGGTGGGCTGAATTTCTAAGCAGGTGACTCTTTTCCGTTTTTATACACGGAACGTGAATGCAGCGCAAAACTGCCCGAGAGCGAAAGAGCGAGCAGATGAGCCCCAATGATCAGAAGCCGGGTCTTCTTTCAAACACACACACTCATACACACACTTCGCTCTACATCCCTCACACACAAATGCCAGCACACTCACACAAACGCGATCCAGTAACCACAGCTCCATCAGTCCAACCCGCTCGCTAGTGGCTGCCTTCGCCGACACGCAGAGCTGTGGCAGGAGCTCCTGCTGGCTCTGTAGCACAAAGCAGAGGTGAAGGGGAATCCGGGGACTCAATTTGGGAGGCAAGAGATAATTCCGCGACATTGCTGGGAGGAGCAGAGAACGGTGAGGGAAGGTGAGTGAATGCACTTCGGTCCAGCTGCTGCTGCTGCTGCGGGAAGAGGAGGAGGAAGACGAAGCCCAGCATCTGGAGAAGCTGGAGGACCAGCACTGTAACATCATCCTGCACAGACTCGGAGGAGACGGCCAGCGGAGACCAGGGTACCTCCAGGCTCAGATGTGGAGGGAGAGCCGGTCAACTTGTACTCCTGGGTGAGTCAAGTGCCATCTTTTCTTGCAATCAAACAAACACTTTTCCACACTCCTCTGTGATCCATTAATGTGCCACGAAACGAGACCGTGCACATGGCGTTTATCATTTGTGTCCCTCTTCTTTTCTGCATGTGTCTTTCACTCGTTCTTCCACTTTGCTATATTCAACTCGCACCTTAACAGACAACCTGATGAGCCCAAGGCTGCACCTGTAATCATCCACACATCTCATCCCCTCAGACACTTCTCACTCTGTTATGGTGCATTCCCGGCTGATTGATTTGCTCTCTAACTCAGTTGGACATCAGGTCTCATTATCTCGTGCTTTTCTATTGTCAACCTCGGGATGGTGTGCTAGTGCAACCATGCAAGCAGAGCCACTGTGTGTGTGTCATTGGTTACCATTTGTCAATTAGGTTTTGATGATCTAAACGAAGGAAGGGGGGAGGCAGCCTTTGATCGATCCCTGCAGTTGTCTCGGTGTGAGAAGCTCGGTGCCTGTCCTCCGCCTGGCATGTCTTAAACCCTCTGTCGGTGTTTGCTCAGCCCTCTCCCAGCTCTGTTTTTACTGCGCCTCTGCTCTGTTCTTAGTGCAGTCTCTGGAAGACGGATGATTATTTTAGGAAAATTCTGAATATAGTTTTGCTTTAATCTCTTTCCTCCTCTGGTCCAGCAGTGCTTGCATACATACTGTAACTGGCTGCTTTGTTGCTGAAATTGCACATTTGATGTGTTTCTGTTTTTAAGATAGTACAGGAGGGAATTGTAATTCCTGTGAGTTTGATCATCTGAGTATTTTGGGGGTGACTTGTTGACAGAGGAGGATAATGAGATGCAACAAAGGTCCCTGAAAGTACTCGAGTCCAAGCCTTTCGGACTACCCTGTTTTTATACCGTGACATTCACATCTCTACATTGATTCAGTCAGTCTGAGACTGGCCCTTTCAATGATTTTTAACTGTAGTGTCACTGCATGCTTGCCCCAGTTAATCGGTCACCGTTAAACCAATAAGAGGCGGGTAGAGAGCCGCAGAGTCGGTAATTTCACCAACATTCAAATGAAAATCATTTAAAACACCATGTTCCCTCTTTTCATGCGCTGTGACTGAAGAATTATGTTTGGTGTCCTGCAGTGGGGTGCCTTAGCTTTTGTTCAGTCACTGGCTGCTTTCGACCTGTTGAAGTGTCCTTGGACACTGGGTTCATGTTCGTCACTGGGTTCATGTTCGTCACTGGGTTCATACAGTAAGGGTCACATTGCAAATGCTTAATCTGCTTAAGGTACTGTAGGTGCAGTTCCTTTAACATCTTACATTCTTATTAATCCCAGGATTATTACTGGATTTATGCTGTGCATTTCGTGCCTCCATGTGTCATCTTATAGATCTCTGCTGAGAGCAGTTACTTTAAAAAAACAAAATCAAGAAAAAACAGCAACTAAAGTGAAGGCAATTATGAAACAGCTCTTAATGGTACCCGAGGTGCCACTTAGCCTCCTTATTTGACAGATTTATGTGTCAGTAATGAAATGTCTGCAAAGTTCCTCAGAGTGCGTTATTAAAACAGGCCTGTTAGCCTTGTCCTTTACTACGCCTACACTTACCTTCTCATTTTGAACCTTTCTGTTGCACATAAAGCTGTCATCCAAGCTCAACAGTCACATTGGCTCAGCTTAACAGTGCCTCATTGTTTTCAACTCCACAGTATTTATGAGGGCAATAAAACAGAGATGCATCCACTGTCAGCAAGATGAGGGCATCGCTGCTCTTACAGGGAGGAGAGTGCAGAGGGAGGAAAAGGGAGGAGGAGGCATGCGATGCGGGACTGAAAGGAGAGCGTGCTCCTGCGAGTGGCTGTCCGATACCTGCAGGCAGGCTGGCGTGTCATCTGTCTGCGTTAAGATGTCCAGCTGGAATGATCGTCGGCCTGCGTCCGCTGGCCGGCCTCCCACAGACTACTGTAATGCCATTACAGACATTCAGACGGGGCTGTAACCTTAATGCAGAGCTTAGAGAGCACGTGGGCGTTACAAGTCTTTTTTAAAAATGAGATTTCTTCATTTCGCATTTGTTGTGACATTAGTGCCTGGTTGACCTCGTTACCTTAGAGCAGTAGTCCTATTTTGCCAGATGGACCACAACAGCCCTGTCAGATCAGTCCAATCGCATCCTCGAACTGAGACTGAGTGCAGTTGGGATAAAATCTGACCAAAAAGATGGATTTTATTCACCTTCTAGTTGAAGGGAATTTTATCAATTTATCTGTTACTATTAGCTAATTCTGTACTCTGTCAGATGGCTAATCCTTTATTTAACATGTTAAACCAAATATTCCAGCTGCCTATCGCCACTTTTAGCTATTTTAAATAATATTTATAGTAGGGATCTAATGATGTAGCTCGGAGATTAGACCTGCTAGTGCTCACAGAGTACTGGCTAGAATTTAATGAAACTTACACGCAATGATCAAGGTCAAGGTCATTCTGCTTGTCACAAAAAACACTCCTCTTAGAGTAATGCTCAGCTTGTAGTTTCCTGTGTGTGACTGTTTGCAATCCTCCTTGACTTTTTAATAGATTTAAATTTTCATTAGTTTATAAAATACCTCCAACCAATGACTGCGAAGCCTATTACTTTCTTTCTGTACCTCACACATTATAATGACCTGTGAATTGTGATGATAATGAGTCGGACGAGCTACTACATCAGTGACGTTCTGGATTAATCATTTATTCATTACTTATAGAGGGTAAGATTTCCTTTATTCATCCCTGTAGGGAAGCTAGTTCTCCTCTTGTAACCCATCCTTATATTAGTAGTAGTTGCCAGCCACCGTGCCTTGTTCGAGAGCACATGACAGGAGAAAAAGTCCTGTATGTTTTTTTGATGCTGGGGGAAACTGGAGCTCCTGGAGCTATGCATTATACTATTTCACTGTTTATATATTACATTCAACTAACTATTTTAAGATTGCTCGAGCAGCTTGACAGTCTTTACGTAACCGTGGTTGCTGCAGAAACACCTGTGTCCCCTGGATGGCAATTACTGATCTCAATATATCACCTTATGAATGTGAACTGATCTTCAAATGGCATCTAGAATAATTTAGTGAAATTAGACTCTTGCATGTGTGTGTGTGTGTGTGTGTGTGTGTGTACCTTTTTCCAGGGCTTAATCAAGGCCAAATGTGAGCGTTTTTATTCAAAATTATGCTCCCTGACCTGCGGAAAATAGGCTGAAGCTTTAGACGAATTAGTACGACAGTGCAGTCATGAAGTGCCACACGCTGCAGTTTGTCATTGCAGGGCTGCTTATTTATGTGACTCTAATGGAGCCGCTAGTAACTACAGAGGCTTTCGTTAGATTTTTTTAAAAGCCATAGAATCAAAGCCAAAGAAATAAATCAACCCAGAACAATACAGATGCAATTTCTGTCACGGCCCACTCAGAAAATATATCTACCTTCAGTTTAAAACTACATTAGCTAATGTATTTTCTTTTTATTGCACAGCCTATTTATAATACCTCAACTTCTTGTATCATCTGTGTACTTTTGAAATTTTGCTCGTTTAAGCTGATGATGATTTTTCTAGAGTGACTTTGGAGGACACAGGCGAGATCCAGAGAGGAAGCGATGGCAGGAGAGAAGTGGTTTTTGCACTCTGGATGCTGCATATTTTATGTTTTCCGCGGCCTCTGGATGAAAGAATGTGTGATGAGACGGTCTTAGTAGTTACGTAAATAATAAGAGGAATCAAATGAGTCTCACGAGTGTCTGATTTTACACAGTTAAGAGGAGTTCAGAGATCACACTTTGTCTCATGCTTCTTGCATGAAGTCAGTTTGTTTGCCCAGCGCTCCTTAGGATGAGAACGTTTGTGGCGATGAATGCTTGACACCAGGCCAGCTGGATCTAAAAATGAAATCATCTATAAAACAACACAGAACAGAGAGATCAACTATTTAAACCTCTAATGTGTCTGAGCTGATACTGAACGTGTGTGTCAGAGAGCAAAGAGTCTCCATCACTGAGCTGTGCTAGGGCTTGAAGAGGAGGGTTTCTGGGGAGCTTATATACTTGTCAGACTCCTCCGCCTCATTTCATTTTATGTATTTCTGCTGCTGCTGGCAGCTTAAAGTGGTGCGACCGGACGGCTATAAAACAAAATTTCTCAATATGGATCGACAATCATGGCTGAGATTGCTGGAGAAAATGGAGTTCAGGGCTCCTGCTCGGTGTCTCATCAGAGATGTTATCCTTAATAGCGTAAGAAATTATTTAAACAGGACTCTGAGGACTGCATATGGCAGTTCCTCAAAAAGAATGTCCTTAAATCAAGAATAATCCATCTGTCCAGTCAAAAATAATACATGATATATCATTAGCATAGCATTAGCAGTCTTGAATAAAGTAATAAGTGACACAGATAACTGTTTATTCAAGTTTTAAATTAGGTTTTAAATTGTATGCCAACTTCGTTCTGCTATTAAAAGCGTAAAACATGGGCTCACTGTTGTGCCATCTTTGGGCAGTCTGGTATGAAAACTGTCCTTTTACATCTGAGATATAGATTCTGCATTTGACATCACTTGTTATAAGTTATCAGATGAAATGCTTGCAAAAGGAAACAACTAACCAGAGTAAATGTAAATGTATACTGTAATATTGGTTACCTGTCCTTTCTAACTGCTCAACCACCACCATAACACTTTATTCTCAGTCATAGCACTGAGAATAAAGTCACAGGAGTGATCAGCCTACCAAAATTCTCTCAGGAGGTCACAGAAGAACCAGAACAACATCTAAAGACCTGCAGGCATTGTCTGGCTCTGTTAAGGTCAGATGTCATGACTCAACCATAAAAAAGAGACTTAGCAAAAATGGCATGCAAGGAGAACACCACATCTGCCAACAAACATCTGGATGACCTCAGAGACTCCTGGGAAAATCTTCTGACTGATGAGACAGAAGCTGAACTTTCTGGAAGGTTTGAGTCCCGT